AGTTATCTACCATACCCTACATAATAACTAATATACAAAACATGTATCTAATAAATGTTATGTAAATATAGATCTCACTGTGTTCACAGTTATCTACCATACCCTACATAATAACTAATATACAAAACATGTATCTAATAAATGTTATGTAAATATAGATCTCACTGTGTTCACAGTTATCTACCATACCCTACATAATAACTAATATACAAAACGTGTATCTAATAAATGTTATGTAAATATAGATCTCACTGTGTTCACAGTTATCTACCATACCCTACATAATAACTAATATACAAAACGTGTATCTAATAAATGTTATGTAAATATAGATCTCACTGTGTTCACAGTTATCTACCATAATAACTAATATACAAAACGTGTATCTAATAAATGTTATGTAAATATAGATCTCACTGTGTTCACAGTTATCTCCAGTGTGAGCTATTGGGTTAGCACAGTAACACTTGTATGAGCCCCAGAATTCTTCACATGTTCCTCCATTCTGACAAGGGTTTGGAGAACAAGAAGGACTACAGTCCTTAACAATGTCAGGAGCACTACAAAAACAAAAACAACTTTCTTTCACACATTATTACTTCAATGGAAAATATGGAAAGTGAGTTAATACAATTAATGGTAACTAACTTTACACTTTCAATATACTGAGAGTTTAAACATACATACAATTATTTTCAACACCCAGGTTTAACAAAAATACTGTAACTTCTAATATAAACATACTATTACAATGTAATAGCTTCAGTTACCCAAAAATCAGTACAAGTTAGAAATATTACCAGAACAATACAGATCATATTAAAGAAAAAATTAATTAAGTATATTAGTGAAATTTATGGATATAATTTCATTTTTATTAAACTTTAATATTAAAATGTATAGAAAAATAAAAAATTTGGTGACTTAAAAAACAAATCAAATTAATTATACAATACTGCACGACACAAACCTTGTTCTTTACACAAGTGTATAGATCAGGTTGCCAAGTCTGCAATACTTCCCACATATGTGAGCTTTGTTTTATTTAAACATTTGTTACTATAGCATTTTAATACAACTGTTGGTTGGTTTAAAGAGTGGCTTGTTTTGAGTGTCTGTAGGTTTGTTTTTTGTTGCAAAACCTGGTATAGATCATATTCAATTTATCCATTATGTAGCAGTTCCTATCACAGTAGCTTGTTATCCATTAAAACACACTCCAATACCTTATTCTATAAACAACATTTACACCACATCCTATATAAACCACGCAGACCTACAACACACCCAATATCAGGTAAATATCAAAAGAATTCTAAAATTAACTTACTCTTCACAAGTTTATCATTTACTATAAATTACAGCTAAAAATACTTCACTTAAATTTCCTACATCAATCCTTTCACAAAGGGCAGGTTAAAGTGTACATGTCACAACCTTTGAGTTACATTCAAAATTTAATTAAACTATTTTATTATCCAAACATATAAATAAACTTTGCATAAAAAATAGGTAATAAATCAACTTTTAATAATATATATGTTTTAAGTTCTTAATTTCATAAAAAAAAAAATTTAAACCCTCAATCTTCCCTATTATGAGAATTTGACATTTGCTCTCTTGGTCTTCCCTCTTCTCAAATTTATTTACCACCCCTCCTAAAAGTATGCAATTTAATGTAAATTACTCATTATAATACAGATATTACTCAGGCAAAGAATAATTTTTATAGCCTTTAATCTTATTTGTTTAAGGAGCAATAAGCTAGAAAATCACACCCACTTCCCATGCCCACCTGTCACATCCTCTTGCCACACCCACCTGTCACATCCTTTCTTTCACAAATTACCAATAGTTCTCTTTGTTTAATATTATATTATTTATAACTAATAGAACACCAAAGTTTTAATCTATCAAATGTTATAGTAGGTTACAATGTTTTCTCTACAGGGTACTGTTTGTTTTGTCATTCAGTTTGAAATTCTCTCTCTCTCTCTCTCAATGAGCTTAACTGAATTTTTAATGGCTCTTCTTGCATAGTTAGAAAGCCAGGAAAATTATGACAGTTATAGAGCATTACACCTAAACTCAATAATACTTATTAAGTATCTTCGTTTATGCAGCCTTCGGGACAGAAGGAAGACTGCCACTGTCCCAAACATGAGATAAACGACCATGTACCAAATGACAGAAAAGTGTCCAGATCT